CAAACGTTATGAACCAATAGCTACTCTTACCTATCAATGGAACTGCTTCCGACGTAGGCGGTATTGACTCCGTGATTGACTGAAGATATACTCCCATACTTAGCAATGTTGTAATAATCATATTGATCTTTTCCCCAGTTTCTGGAGGCATTAGGAATCCAAGCACAGCCATGGAAGAGATAAGCAGGCAAGGAATAATCTTAAGTGACAACTATAAAAATTCTTTGTAACATTGCCAGCACTTTTCACAAGTCGCGAAAATTTGCTTATACACCTGTTTTATAAATCTTACCGCTTTTAATAACTACGACTGATAATCAAATTCATTGCGCAACTTTGATTATTTAAAACGCAGAGAACAGAGAATGCGGTCATGCAAAGGAAAATGTGCTATGTAGACGAAGAAGAAAACGAGAAAATATGGCGGAAATTCAACAACACCGAAGTGAGGATATGAATAGCCTTTACGCTCTTCTTTCTCTTTAATACTCTTGCGCGCAATACGAGCGAATGGTGACAATAGCGTTCCTTCAGCTCTCACAATACCTTCCTTCTTCATAGATGATTGGAAAGTACGAACGGTTTGCATCCTGTTGCTTGAGGTACGTGATCAAAGTAAAAAGAAAAATGGAAATAATTACTGACGTGGTTGAATACGTAGAACAACGGCCTCCGATGCATTTTTATTTTTATAATGATTGTAGGCCATTTGAAAAGAGAATTGGATGGGAAGTTCGCAACCTAAACAGAGCATGAGATGTTGCATGATGATTCTAACTAAAGACATTCATACCTCTCTTATGGCTATCATATCGATAAGATCAAATTCGCTGTTATTCATGTAACTGCTTAGGTCGCCCTTGTCTGTGTTGAGACCAAGATCAATCTCGAATAAATCGTGCGACCAAGATGCGAACTTCAAATCGCATACCTAACTATCACAATCAGTTGCCTTTAGGCAATGGTGCCATCCAGCTATTTGGCTAACACTAATGGAATTGTCTAGCAACCTATGCAAGGCTCTTTTAAAGTAAAAAGACCTATTTCCTGAATACCAAGATAGGCTTAATGTTATACGTATGATGAGTAGTGGATGATAGAACCGCATACTCTGTCAATTATACTTGATCAATACTATTCCGTAACTGATTGCATGAATAGTACCGAATAACCTGCCTGATCATCAAAAGGATAGTAACGAACGCGAATAGGGCAAGAACTACGGAATAAAGCAGAAAATAACCAGGTAACATTGCCATCAGACGTAGCCATGATATCCGTTGATACCAATGAAGCATGATACTCTCGTATAGCACT